TTTTTTGTGGGGAGGGGGGGGGGGATGATTTTCCAAATACCCCCATAAGTTGACATATACGTCAAAATGTCCCTAAAAGATATGGCCACAGTGGAATGGCCTTTTGGGCTGACATGTTTGTGTTATGCCCCTGTCAGGTGGGTGTGGAAATTCGCTTGGCCTTTTGCAATTGCACCTACGAAAACTTGGCAACTGCCGGGGCATTTTGCGAAGTTGGGCAGCGTCCGGTACCGGTACATTGCAAAGATGGGGTCCAACTGATGGCTGGGGTGTTTCGCAACATGTTTTTGTCATCGTCCTTCGGGTCCACTTGTGCAAATAAGATTAGCATGGTTGGTGCAAAAGGATTACTTGCACAAGTCACGGAATGGTGCAGGAAAAAAAAAAAAGAAAAAAAGCGAGGAAAAAAAAAGATGTTTATAATATCAAAAGGTTTTGGCTTTTCTCAACTTGGGTCGTGCACACTGACTTGCTAGAGTGCCTAACAAAACATGGAGTGCTGTCCCCCGAACACAATGCTTCCCTCATCATGAATGTATGCAAGCTATCTTTCCAGTCCAATGAAACTGGCAAGGGTCACTGGTGAATGGCAGCGGAGAGACTGGAGGGCAGACAGCAACGAACCCAAGACAAAGAACGCACCCCCCCAATCGCAAAGAGATTTGTCGGGATCTAGCAGGTGTTCATAACCACTCCATGATGGGTTCAGACTTTGGTCATCTACAGCTCTTGGAAATCAAGTTATTACAACGGTCTTGAGACTGAAAGGAACTGATGACTCACAGGCTGTCTAGACTGAAAGGAAGTGATGACTCACAGGCTGTCTAACAGTTAAACCAGCAGTACCTTTCCCCACTTGAGAATCAAATACGTGCCGGTATATTCGGAAGCCAAGCGGGATCAGGCCACCGTTGATAAATTTCATCGGCGGCCCATTTTCCATTTCGGGCATTGTTTTCTGCCCACGGCTGATATATGGGAAATGTACTGGTGGGATCCTTTGGCCTGCATTGAAGGAAGCATGGAGTGGGTCTTATTAGGCCTCTCTCTTTTAACTTGCCGATGGATTGGAACTGGACTGATGCTCCCCAGAATGGAGGAGCCAGGACCATAAGGACCTGTTTCAACCAGAAAACAAGGAAAAAAAAGAAAAAAGATAAGAAAAGTCAATTGGTAATTGCTGAGTAATACCCAGGTTACATGCCGTTCCATTGTGTTATTTAAAGGGAGAGTAGCTGCTGCATAATAGCCAGGTTATATGCCGCACACTTTCAATGGAAATCTTGAGGGGATTGCCATAACCCTGCTCTGAAACACTCATTAAGGTCGGGCTGAGTGCTAGGACACAGCATAGAAACCTGCAACGTTGTGCACCTCCCCTCCAGCGCATCCCCCACTTCCCTTCTCGTCTTTCTATTTGTAAGATCGGCGCCCAGCACCAACGGGCTAGGCTCAGTTGGTACACCCATAAACTGTTGAAATGCAGACCCCAGTTTGAGTCCAGATGGAGCCAGATGAACCAAATTTCTTAATTACTTAGGGCCGGTCAGTTTCACGATGATATATCAAGGCTGTTGCCCTTTTGAAAAAGAAGCGGAAAGGAATAAAGGAGGAAACAAGAAAAAAGGAAGGGGAAAGAAAAGGATTGGGCCCTAGTACGCTCACGATGGCCTTCAGTGACTGAATCTTGATGATGTTGGACAAATGAGTCAATAATAGGCATTGTCGGAGCAGTCGCTCCAGACTGTGTGCAGTGGAAACAAACATGCAAACAGAACCCAGCTCACAAACCCGGAATGGAAGAGAAATGAGGAAAAGGGTCGGCCATGTCCCCCAGGCAGAAACAGAGAGCACAGTCAGCCAGTCAGTCAGAGAGTAGGTTATGGGGTGATGTGTGGCGCATGCAGGGCCTTCTCTCTGCAAGATATCTCACCCATTTGGGCACTAGTGAGGATGCTATGTGGATGCACTCAATCGAGCAACATTCCAAAATAAATGCCACTAGATCAATTGTTGACTAAGGACCTTAGCCAAAGAAAAGGCGACCTGCAAGCAATCGGGTGGATATGCATTGCTTGCCTCCAACCTTCCCTGTGGTCACAGGCAGACTCGTTCATTCACCAAGTAATTGAGAGAAAACGATCAGACCTGAAAGCACATATAATTCTATTATTCTCATATCTCATTAGGAGAAGCGAAAAGGAGAAACGGAGTGAGGAGGGGAGAAGAAGACACTTGTTGAAAAGGCACAAATCCATGAGCTCAGCTTCCACTGGCGTAAGACTTGTTCACAGTTTGCGGGTGGTGGTTTCCCTCATGTGGAGGGAGTGATGGTTTCCCTCATGTGGAGGGAGAGAATGTGTACACATGTGGGATTCTTTTAAGGTTCCCACACACACACACACACACACACACACACACACACAGAG